TGTTCAGGATTGCTTTTGCTGTTCATAGTCTCTTCTGATTTCATGTACATTTTAGGAATATTTTTTTCTATTTCTATGAAGAATGCTCCTAGTGTTTTGGTTACAATTGCATTAAACCTATTATCAGTTTTGGTAAGAAAGTCATTTAAATAGTAATGATTCTGCCTGCCCAGGAGCAGGGGATTTTTTTTCCAATTTTCTAATGTCCTCTTAAATGTACTTTTTTTTCAGAGTGTTGCAGTGTTTATTAAAGAAGTATTCCACTTCTTTGGCTAGGCTAATTCCTATTGTTTGTTTGTTTGTTTGTTTTGCTTCCATGACAAGTATTGCTTTTGATTTCTTTCTTAGCATGTTCATTGTTGGTGAAGCTGGTACATTTATATTAAGTGAAAAGAAATGTGCTTAAAACACCATATATTATATGATCACATGAAATGCCTGAGATGGCAAATCTATAGAGGCAGAAAGTTATGTTGCAGATAGGGATAAAGACTAAGAACAAGTGGTCATGAAAGATATTCTTGAGGTGATGAAAATATTCTAAAACTGGATTATTGAGATGGCTGCACAAGCTGGTCAAGTTACTAAAAATCAGTGAATTATAAACTTGAAGTAGGTGAGTTTTATGGTATATAAATTATACTTTTATAATGTTAGACAACAGTAAGGAATGGTAAGAAGACTGATATGGTTGTATCCATGGGGCCAAACCCTTAAAGAAATAAATTGACCAAATTTCTACATGCAGCAAGAAGTAGAATTTTAATTGGAATAAGAGAATTTTTCATTCCTAAATAACACTGGATAAGTGAATGGATACCTGTCAGAGAATAATAATAGATTAATGAGGGTGAGATTTACTTATCTGGAATATTTTGACTCTTTGTGGCAAAGAAGCATGCTGAAAATACCACTTTAAAATGCTTAATTTAGGGGCAGAATGATGGATGAAATGTTTTTCAAAAGGCCAGATCAATGAATGAGTGTAATTATCCAGGTCAGGTGGGTCTTGGTTAGAGTTAAAAGAGAGGAGTGGGGGAGGTAAATTTTGAAGGAGGAATCAGGTCATGGTGACTGTTATCACTAACTATATAAAATTGCTTTGTAATACACATTACTATTGGGTATATTGAAAGTAGTACTCAAATAGGTAGAGAAACTCTGTCTTGGGGATGAAAAGGTGAAGCATGTTTATTGATCAGAAAGTTTAGTTACACGTGACAGAAACCTAACTGAAGATAACAACACAGAGTGGATTATACTGGTTAACAATACTAAGGGGGCCAGGAGTTCTGTGCTTGACCCTGACAATTTATATCAATTAGATTTACTTTCCTCTGTATTTAACTCCATTCTTAAATTCTCCAGATTTTAGTGTTTGTTGCTGCAAACAATCTCAGGAATTACAGTATTTCTTTCCTAGTAACTATCAGTAGAACTATAATGTGACTTCTCATGGCTTGGTTTGAGTCAGCTCCATGAGCCAGACTCTGGTCAAGAGCACTGGTTCTCCTATTCATTGGGCCAAAGCCTTGTGTGTCCCAACTCATGAGTCGTACTGGGGTTTGGATCTGAAATCTTCCTCAAAGGCATGAAAATTCAGTTTAGTCACCAGGCCACATATTTCTGGGAGGAAAAAAAAGTCTTTGGGAGGTGGAATCTAGTGAAAAGAAGTTGGAACCTTAGGGCTGTGCCCTTGAAGGAGATACTGTGATGCTGGTCTCTTCCTCTCTCTGTCTCTTTGCTTCCTGGCTCCCAGAAGGTGACAGCTCCCCTACCATGTACTTCTGCCATAATATACTATGTCATCAACAGAGCCAACCAACCAGGGACTGAAAACTCTAAAACTGTGAGCCAGAATTGGCCTTTCTTTTAGAGCGGATTATTTCATGTGTTTGTCAAAGTGATGGTCAACTAACACAGGAACAATCAGCTTCATTCGAGACAAATAAGAGTGTCTTCATAACTAGAAGATGGAGGAAAGACCAAAGAAATCCTTAAAAAATGTGTTCACTACAAGAATGTAATGTTAGAATCTCATAAACTGTAATAGGTTTTAGTGTTTTCATTTTAGATATATGGAAACAAAACTCTGCAAAAGTTAAGAAATTCACCCAAAGGCAGCCCAAATAAAATCATAAAGGTGAAACTTAAGTTCAGCTCTGTTTATTTCAAAGTCTAATCCTTTTGAAGAGAATAGTCAATGTGGACCAAGTATATGCTGAAATGAAAAGGCAAGAATATGTGAAAATTCCTTGGAATATTAAATACAGGTACATCAACTTGAGTCAGGAGGCAGTGATGGAGAAACTGTAGGTGATGGGAAGAAAGAAATGGCAGGTGAGAACCTAGGAGTTCTAGGATACCTACCTCAGATAACAATCCAGATAACAATCAGATAACAATCCAGAATTGCTTTGAGGGGTAACTATGAGCTTGTCATGTGAATGAAAGCTCAAATTATATTTGGAGAACAAAATCCAGAAGATCCAAAGGTTCAAACTGTAGAGTTATTTTAGGAAGCACAATGCTGGCTGGGACAACACTGAAGAGAGACGGTGGCCATTTTCAGTGGTCCAGCCAGCCAAAAACACCAAGAAAATACCATGGGCTTGGCTCTGGGATGACCTCTAATCCCAGAGGACGAAGGACAAGAGTAGTTTATTTCCTGTGGGCAAGGATTGAGGAATATTTGGACAGCTGGACAAATACGTGTTGGCTGCAGAGAGACTGTGAGGAGATTAGGACTGAAATGAATGGGTAGGAGGTGGCCACAAACAGTAAGAAAGCTTAAATGTTTAAAGGTGTTTGTGCTGTGAACAAGTGACTGTCGTTCAGAGAGCTGCTGTAGTCAGAAAGTGGAAGCAAAGCGAATTTGCTCAGACAAACCTGACTTGAGTGGGTGAAGGCAAAACATGGTAAGAGATGGAGATGATCAGGCATAAGTCAGGCTTTTTTCAAGGTAAGGACAGAGGGAAGATTTTAATAGAAAGAAGCATATCCTGAACCCTTAATTTTATGGTATGTAACAAAGAATAAGGATTTTAGAGACAGCCAGACCTAGTTCTAAATAATGCTTATGCCACTTGCTAGTTGTAGAACCCTGGGTAAGTGTGAACATACTCATCTATAAAACAGAGATAAGCATATTCCTAGAACAATTGTGGAAAACATACCACATATGTGTATAGAGAAGAGAAACAGTGAGACGGCAGCTAGCATGTAGAGACACTACATAAATGGTAACTAGTGACAATGATAGCAAATTTTGGGATAGTTTGCCCTTGAAAATATTTAATATTTATTTATTCTAAGATAGGTAGAAAATAAAATTGTATGTTCTGGTTTGGCCTGAGAGATCAAAAATGATCCAATTCTAAACCAGATTAAGTAGTTCAGGTTATTTTTATCACTTCTTCACCTAACCTGAGTTTTATGTAACATGTCTTTAACATAACAAACCATCGTAGTTCCCTTTTGAAACCCTAAAATAATTGTGCTGGTATCAGCAGACTCTACCTCATAGTTTATCTGGGACTTTCCTGCGTATCTGGCTTTCCATCTTTGAATTCATCTTAGCTATGCTTGTGGAAACAATTACTGCCTCTGTATACTAATTGTACCCACAACTATTCGGTCATTTTTTAAAAATGAGCCATATCTTTCGTTTGAAAACTTTTGGCTACACTATGTGCAGTATATCCATGCTTAATGTGATTTATCAGGGTACAAATAAAACAACATTGATTAAGATTTATTTATTAGTTGTTCACTCACTCAGTGGAATTTATTTGAAACCTCCTATATGCGAAGCACAACCAGATCTTACAAGAAGTACATATAGGAAGAGCAAAGGTTCCCAGGCCTGAAAGAACTTACAGTAACATATTGCTTGTTGGAGGTTAGGCTTTGCACAGCAACTGGACAAATTTTCCTCTCTCTGGACTCTTCACTGTGTATGAAGCAATCCTGATAGTTCTTCTGTCCTTTGTCGACTAAAGAGGAGAAAAAGTTAGCTGGCCCTCCTATCCCTTCTTTGATATTTGAGATATTTTTGGCATGATATTTCATTGCCCTTTGGTGGAATAGCTCACAAAAGCCAAATAATACTTTGTGTAAACTACAGCTAGCTCTGAAAAGGTTTGTTTTAAATTCGTGAGTCAGCTAACTTTCGGTCAAATTAAACACTCATGCTGAAGAAGCAATTTTAGCATTTGCAGAAAACTCAGACAAATTTTATGTTATAGAAAGCTTAAAACAAATTAATTATAATTAAAAAATCATGAGACGTTTATTTTGTCAAATGTCTTCTTCAAATTGTTCTTGCTATTACTGATTTAGAGTAGTAATTGTTCCAGCTTCCTATATAATGCAGAAACAAATTAAGAGAAAGCCTTTCTTTGTAAGTTCCCTCAAATCAGTCTGCAAAGTTACTTACAAGCTTAGACTTCAAGTGCATGATGTTCTGTCTCTTGCTTCTCACTGGAAGAGGCTTAGGCTTCAAAAGACCAGTAACTGGACTGTGGTCACTAGTTCACCTAGTGGCAGTGTCAGACATGAAATATGGTCTCCTGACTCTTTTCTGACATTTTGGATCCCTCGGTTTAACTTGTCAGCAATTTATGTGTGGAACCATATCTTTTCAATGTTATGAACAGAATACTATTTTTCCTTATTTTACTTGTGTACAAAGCACCATTAGTATAAATTAATTTCAGAAATCTATTTCTAAAAGGTAAGTTTTAAGTATCTCCAAATTCCTATCATTTTCTTTTAGCTCCCTATGAGGAGTCAAAATACTGTGATGATTCCAGAGCAGACATTGCAATAGTGTTCCCTACAGTTTCATTTTTTTCCATTCCTGGCACTTTTCAACAAAGATACTAGGCTTGACCATGTAATTTTCTTTGTTCAAGACTTAATCAGAATTTACCAACACACAGCACTAATGTTAAATATGCTGGCTTAATTTGATTTGTTCTCCTCTGCTTTTCCGTCAGATATGAAAAAAAGTATACTTGAGTTGCTACTGATCCCAGAATGACAGAGAGTTTGTGCAGCTCTGAACCCAACCTGCAGCCTGGACCCTGGTCAGCTGATTATAACTCAGCCCACAAAGCCACACTAACCAATTCCTGGACTTACAAGTGAGAAAAAAAATAAATGCGTCTTATTGTATATGATTAAGGTTTGAGGTTGCTTGTTATGCAGCATTATGAAAAAATTTCTCTTGGTCTCAGATTCCTATTACATAATATGGGGCAATGTTTGTACTGTACTTATTTGCATGGTGTTATCAAGAGTCACCGAGCAGTATGTAATATGTTTAGGGGATTGTCTGTCACACTGAAGAAACAGCCTCACCTCTTTTCATATACTATTCTTCAGCCAACAATTTCCTTCCCAATGTAATTATGTCAATAAAACATGTTGGAATTCTTTTATTACCTTGGTGTAAAAGAGCAAAGCCTGCCAACAAAGGAGGAGCACAAGTACATGCTATGAAGTACAAGTTAATTCATTGCCATTGTGTACTCCTTGCTGGGATAGTGGACAGCACAAGCCTTGTGGTGTTTAGGAAGTATCTTCAATCCACAGAATATCTCGGTTTTTCTACCAATACTTGCTACATCCAGAGCAAGTTAGGAACACAGCATTGGGACTAGAGCAGATACTCTCAATGCCCAACTGATACCCCCTAAACCTTCCTCTGAGTTTCAATACATTAATTTCTCAGTTTAGTCACTCATATATCTTTGCTCCTCTGATGCCAGGGAAGCCGCCTTAGTACGTCAGTGAGGAAGTGCTTCTGGGGCAGCTGTGAAGCCTTAGGAGATGGGAATGGGTGGGTTAGTACCTGAACCCTCCTCACACTCCCATTAGATAGGGGAATATTCTTACCGATTTCCAGTAAGCTGAAGTTCAAAGTTCCTACAATCATACCTTTTTCATCAACATTCTTGTATAAGGAAACAAAATGTTTTTCTACTATACTCACACAATTCTTATTCATATAATTCCTTGATACCATCAGGGTATCCTACAATTTAATTCAATTCTGTTACTATCTATATTGAGAGAGCAATATATGACCTCTTTATTTTAGGGTTTTTTTTTTTTGCAGAGATTTAATTACCTAGGTATCATCAATTATATGTTTTACTTCCAGCTTGTTTTCTCTTTTATTGAGAAATGAGCTGAAATTTTTGATTTTTTTTATTTTAAAGAGGATAAAATGGAATAAAACCAATCAAAACAAACCAGTGTAAGAGATACAGGACTTCAAAACATTATAAAATCAACAATAGTTACCATAATGCATTTGATGTTTTCATACAGATAACTTCGAACGTAGTAAAAATCAAATAGAACACAATAGAATAAAAACAAAACAATGAATGCAATAAAGGACTTCAAAACAAACCAATAATAAATCCAAAATTGCTACTATATCTTGCTATCTTTTAAATAGCTGCTCCTGCCATTGGACTTAACATAATCAAACAAAACATAATAAAACTCAACCCAAAAAAACAATGGAAATGATAATGGAAAAGACTTTAAAACAAGACCATAGGGAATCAACAATGGCTAAAATCCTCAGAAAGAGATCATCCCTAGATGCCACAATGTGTACCACTGTCTTCTGATCTTATGACCACTGACCCTAGACCAATGCAATGTTAGTGAAACACAAAAACATCACAGGCATCCAATTGCATTTCAACTTGATAGCTATCATCACAGCCTGTGGTTCTCCTGATAAGCCAGCTCAAGGTGTGTGTGGGTGCTGATGGGGCACTGATACTTCTTGTTTCCAGTCTGCACGCTGGAAGGGGCTAGGTCCTGGCTGATCCAGTCTGGTGGCAGCTCCTGCATAGCACAGGTTCCTAGCCTGGGCTTACTTCTTCAAGTTCCACATTTCTAATTTTGTCTTATGTCTCTGGTGACCAGCTTCTATTCAGGATACCACTAAAGGTCTTCTCATTAGAACAAAAGATGGTCTCATCACACAGGAAATTGCAAAGGATTTAGGAACTCTCTTAGGAATCAAAGTAAAGACAAATAGGGTCAATGAAACGTAATGTCAGAGACACATTGTGAGAAATGCATCATAAGGCAATTTCATCATACAACATCATAAAGCACACTTACTCAAACTTGGGTGTGATACATCAGTCACTGGATTGTAGCTGCTTGATACACTTGATGTATGAAGCTGTCTGCTGCCTCTGTATTCTGTTTTATAGTAAACATTCTAAAATAAGAAGTGCACTCCAAAGTAATGATAAATGTATAGGATAGTGAGTACATATGTCAGCAAAATAGTTGTTTATTGTTAGTATCAGTTATGTGCTGTTCAAAACTATGTGCTGTACTTTTGCATCAGTGGTATGCAGCAGGTTTGTTTACAGTATCACCATCATGACAGGAATAAGTTTCTTGTGGGATCAGTGTTCTCTGTGTGGTCTGTAACTGACCTTCTTGTGTACTTGATGGGGAAAAAAAAAGATTCTCCTAGAAACCCTATTTGGAAGTGTTTCAGAAGCCTTGTATCAGGAACTATAGGTAGAGACCAATGTGTGTGTGTGTGTATGTGTGTGATATACTTTTCTGTATTTGAGCATTTTCTGTTTTTTTTTTGTCTCACTTTCTTGACTTCCTCACTTGTATTTCCTTAGATGCCAACTCAAATAAACTTCTTGAATTCAAATCCATTCTTTAAGACTTGTTTTTAGCAGTGTTAATTTCAGACAGTTGCTTTTTCCCTCTCCTTCCCCCTGTTTTCTGAATTGTTGTGGGACAGAGGCACCAGTAAAGACACCTATAAAAATACAGAAAAGCTAGCTATAAATTTAAAGTATGTTTTCCTCAATTCCATGGGTAATGGAAGCATCATTTTGCTTTCAGCACAAGAGAGGCGTTTCTTACAAACTTGTGTTCTCTTCCCAACAGCATGAACATCAAATAACTGACTAATGGAGGAGTTCAACCTGTACTCTTCAGGGCTCAATTGATTTACAAAAAAAAGGGGGGGGGATTCCTAATGGCAGAGCCCTTGTGTAATTGGGATTGCCTGAGTCTTCTGTTAAAACTGCATCACAACTCAATTTCCCGTTATGGTCATTCCATTTTCTTCCACATTTCTCTTAGTAACTTTTCTTTTCTTGCTGAGACAAAATACCTGACGCCCAGTGTTAAAGGAAGGAAAATTTATTTACCTCTCAGTTTGTAGAAGTTTCAGACCATAATCGTGGTTCCAAGGTAGGATGGCATGGCAAAGGAGCAGTCCTTCATGACTATGAAAGATACCAAAAGCAACAAGAGACAGGAAGAGAGACAACCCTCTTTCAATCCCTCATATTGTATGAAAGATATCTGCTTTCAGGTATGTGTAGTGCTCACATCCTTAATCCCAGCACTGGACCATTAATCAGTCACAAACTCTAGAAGCCCACTCCCATGACAGCATGAGGCTTTTGGGGGACATCTGGGCACAGCCATAACAACTTTCTTGTAACAATCATCCCCAGGAGCATTTCCCAATATACCGCATCGAGTAATTCTCTGTCTCATTGTGTGTGTCTAGGCATTGCCAGGAGTGCTCCTAGGAAATGAACTCCAAAACAGAATTTTGGAATCAGTTTTGGAGTTTGATATTGTACTTTCATCTGACTATGAGGACTTAGAACATAGGTGCTAAGTGGAGTACTCTTTATATCTGGCTTACTATTGTGTTGTAATTGTTGAAATAGAGAGCTTCAAGGGACATGAGTGAAGAGAATACTATGGCTGTGTGACCTTTCAAGAGGTAGAGGGGAGGCAGTCATGGTAGACTGTTGAATCAGGTAACTGTTGCTTCCTAGCATTCCTGATTAGTCAGTGAAACACAATAGACTCCAAATAGATTTATACTTACACAGTCAATTGATTTTCAGTGATGGTGCCAAAGCAAGTCAGCAGGAAAAGTTCTTAAAACAAGCTGCTCTAGAATACCTATCTTATACTATATGTAAAAGTTAGGTTCTTAGACATTTATGTGAAATATTAGAAACTTGTAGAAAGTATTATAGGAGAATAACAAGGTAACCGTTTCAATTAATTTTGTGCCACTATAGTAGTATACCTAGGACTATTTATAAAATATAGAAATTTATTTATTATCATTTTGGAGATTAGAATTCCAAGATCAAGGCAATATCATTTGCTGTCTGGTCAGGGTTTTTTGGCTGCATTGTTGTATGGTGGAATATAGAAAGGCAAAAAATGGGTTTAGTAAGCTTCTTTTTTCAATTTTATTTTTATTTGCACATGTTTGTAGTAAGTTATGATTATTATATCAATTACCTCCCAAGAGCCATCTTTTCAATATTAATTACATTTAGCATTAAATTTCAGTGTAAATTTTGAAGAGCTTGAAAGACTAGTCAAACAAGAGCAGTAGGTAAAATTACATAAACAGGATAAGCAGCAATAATAATTTTTAAAATATGGTATATTTCCTCAAAATTAAAACTACTTTTAAAATATAATAGTAAAATGTATTAGGCAAGTCATAGAATGTGATAAGAATATCATAAATTTATATTGAATGAATGCTTGGAATCCAAAATTTACATGAAATTTTTTTCTACTTGGAAATGAAAAGAATTAGGAAAAGATTTAGATAAGTCATATACTTTGCAAGGAAACACTAGACATTTTAAAAAGCTTTACCGATATTGGTCATGGTGAAAATATAAATCACAATTAGATATCAAATCACACCCACTTGATTGGAGAAAATTTAAAAGATTATCAACATTAAATGTTGATATAAAGGAACAGAAACTCCTATACATTGATGGAGGGATTGTTAAATGGTACAAACATGTAGAATATAGTTTGGCAGTTTATTATGAAGTTATATATGACCTCTATGACTCAGAAATTATACTTCCAGGTGTTTGATCAAGAAAAATTTAAAAATATGTCTAAATAAACTTGAATGGAATTTTCAAAGCAGCTTTATTCACAATAGTCAAAAGCTGAAAACAACTCAAAGTTTCATCAACAGCAGAATAAATAGACCAATTTAGTATATTTATATAACACTAGTAAACAATAAGAGTAATTAAATACCAATGCATGTAGAAACATGAATGAATGTCAAAAACATGTTGAAGAAAGCAAACAGACATAGAAGAACTCATTATACACAAAGATCTATAGCAAGCAAAACAATTTATATGAAAAGTTCACAAAAGTAGTTTCTTCCAGGTGCAGAAGTTGACTGGAATCAAATACTGCAGAACTTTTGTGAGTGACGGAAGTATTCTATAAGTAGACATGGTCTAACTATGTGGATATATTCATTTGTCAACTCATCACAGTATAACATCTAAAAACTGTAGCATTTCAGTGTATATAAGTTATGCTTCAACAAAATAGAAAGATTTTTTAAAAAGTACTCCAAAATGTTTACCAAAATGTGGATACAGTCTTTCTTGAACTTGATTTAAACTTTCACAGTATCTTTCTTTTAATTTTTTTTGAGAAGAGTATATTTACACAAATAAGTTACTTTTGAAAGTTTCTAATCTAGAAATCCATTCTAAGAAAACATTTAAGAAGCATAGAGTACAATGTGTATTCAGTTATTTATTGAAGCTATATTTACATTAAGTGAAACCAAAGTAGTAAAACATTAAGGCACATTTTTATAGTAAATTGTTTTATTGCTAAAATATTAAGTAACTGCTATATAAAGAGAAAATATTGGTCAGGTATAGTGGTGCACACTTGTAATCCCAGCACTTGGAAGGCTGAGGCAGGAGGATTGCAGTGAGTTTGGGACCATCTTAGGCTACAAAGTGACTTCAAGTTTAGTTACACAGCGAAACTCTCTCAAAAAGACAAAAAAGTTCCTGGTTGGTGCCATACATGGGCCACTGTGGGGAGAACCAGATGCTGGCCCTTTCCCATGAGTCGGCACTATTTGTGGACTGTGAAAGGGTGAACAAAAAGCCAATAAGAAGCTAAGCTCTCGCTGCGAGTTGGTTTCTTGTGGGGAGAACCAGACATCAGTTCCTTCCAGCACGCAGGCTGGGAAACAAGAAGTTCCTCCTGTCCCCAGTAAGCAATCAGCTAATCTGGAGAAACACAGACTGCGATGACAGCTACTGAGGTAAAATACAATTTAATGCTTGTCATGTTTAGTATTTCACTGACTTTGCAGGCCTAAAGCTAGTACTCTGATCATCTACTCAGAGGATAACAATATCAACATAGCAGCTATGGGGGATCTCCTTCTGAGAGGGGTGGCCATTATTAATTCTGTATTATCTTGTTTTGAAGTCCTGTATCATTTCATTCTTTTGTTTAATTGTTTTATTTTGTTTTGTCTTGTTTGATTTTATTATATTTGATGGCATGGGCAGCTATTTCAAAGATAACAAGATACATTATGGTACACATTTTAGGTTTACTCTTACCTTGCTTTGAAGTCCTTAATTGCATTCCTTGTTTTTTTTCTTTGCTTCTATCCTGTTCTGTTTGAGTTTTACAATGTTTGAAGTTATGCACAGCTATTTTGAAGACAAAAGGCATTATGATAACCATTGTTGATTTCCTATTATCTTGTTTTGAAGGCTTGTTTCACATTCTTTTGTTTTGATTGGCTTTATTCTATTTTATTTTGCTTAGTTTTATTCTCTTTAAAATACAATATTTTGCTTAGTTTTCTTCTCTTTAAATTACAAACTGAAAAAAGGAAATAATAATAACGTTATTGAATCATATAGATTGCAAAATTTTATAAATGTCCTTATTTTATCCATGCAGATAATATGTAAATGAGAAAGTCTAGATATATGTCAAATTTTATTTTCTGTATTTCCTTTATTATCCGAAACTAAAAGAGTTAAATGCTTTATAATAAATTAAAAGTGAAGCATAATACATTTCTGAGTTTTTTTTTTTTCTTTGATTTTCTATGGCCCTTCTACTTTGGACAAATCATCCGTAGGAGAATTTGGAAAACCCACCAAGTCTTCATAGAAGTCAACTTCTCAGTTGTTGCAGAAAAAGGACACTGAATTAGGTTTTTTTTGTGTCCTGATAAAACCAGTTCTTCTTTCTCTCTCTGTCTGGTTTTCTCCCTCATCTCTTTCTATCCACTTCCAATTCTGCTAGTCTGTGAACCATGAAGAGCAGTGATGTTCTTTAGGAGAGTCTAGCAAACACTGCTATCGCCAACACCCATGCCATTCTTGAAATACATTTAATTTGGCTCCATTTCCTAGTCTGCAAACTTGTTTTAATCAAAATTGGAATCTGTGTGATAAGAGGTCAGGTACATCTCTGCCCCACTGTTTGGTTATTTTGCTAAAATTAAGTGAGCCAGGATCCTGTAAGAGATTACTCTATACTAGAGGGCTTTTTTGTAAGCTGCAGGAATTTAGCACAGTGATTACTGTAGAAAAACAATTTTTAATGAAAATCAATTTTATTAGAGCCAAGATAACAATGAATAATTGCATATAAAGGAGTTCAAAGAGTGTAGAGGAAAATGAAGGAATGGTAAAATCCTTTCCATAGGGTTTTATTTTATTTATCCAAAAGTAAATTCATAGGTTGCTACAGGACAGTGCACATAAAATAGTTTTGCAAAGGGAATCTCCTGCAGAAAAATGCTTCTTGCCTGCTGCTCCAGCAGTTGAGTTCACAGTAGAAAAAC